GACTTCTCCCCGACCCCAAACTGCCAGATGCTCGTATTCATCGATCAGACATTCGCTAGTATATACCAGTCACTAAAGTACTATACTATACTATGCTATAAGTAATATTACCATACATACATACAATCTTACATGCATACACACATACATACATACATATCTGGTAAGCTGTAACTGGCTGCGCAGCGCAACGCAGCGCACGCACATGGCTGACACGTGGTTTAAGTTAAACACGAGATGATGATGCTGATGCTGATGCTGATGATGTGAACATTGAATATGGATGGGGGCCATGTGACATTAGTTAGTACATACCCTAACTACTAGCTTGATACTACTTCATGAGTTAAGGTTATGATCCTGGAGTCAGTGTCAAACTTGAATGGGGTAGGTAGGTAGGTAGTTCGTTGGATGCTTGACTGTGGTGTGTTGTGTGTATTGATGGGTGGGCATATTTGCTTTTTCTTTGTTTTTGTTATTCCTTGCTCTGTCTCTAGTATCTATTGCATGTGGTGCATGTATGTATGTATCTGCTAGTTTATACGTTAGCAGAAGAAGAAAGTGTTATTCCATTGTCTACTTATGGAGTATAAGCAACAGGTACCAGTGGTAGTATTACGAAGTATGTATTGTAGTATGATATTAATAGAACTGAATAGAGTAGGATCTAGATACTAGCGAAGGAAAGTACCTCTATGTAACTTGTTAAAATAATACCATTTATAGCCAAAGTTTAGTCAAGTTCAAATGTCATAGACAGATAATAATAGAGAAGATGTAAAGTAAAAAAGGGGAAAATGTAACGCAACGCAACGCCAAAAGAAGAAATTGACACCGATACAATACATACATACATACGCCTGTGAAAAAAAGTTACCCGAACGTGACGAAATAACTAACTACCTAGCTAGCATGATATGCAATGAGTAGGAATAGAGAGAGAAAAAAAAAAGGAGATGGAGGTAAAATGATCAACATAGTAGCTGGGGTTCGCTTGTTTCCAATGTCCGGAGTTAACTCCGCATTCGGGTGGGCGCAATTTCCGAGCCAAGTAGGATCGGAGTTTATTTTCTTTTTTGGGGGCTGATATGGCATGGCATTCCATTTCATTGTCAGGGGGTATGTTTCTTTCTTTTCTTGGTTTCTTCTTCTGCTGTTGATCTTGCGGGTTTACCGGCAGGCAGAGTCGGTCAGAAGGTAGGTGGGTGCTGGAATGGTATTGATACAGGATCCCCGTGGGAACCAATAGAACGAGTCCGTTCGGCGCGAAGGCATAAAGTTTGACGGAGGGCAAACTGCAAAGAGTAAAGAGTGTTTGAATGATTGAAACGAAGTGTGTTTCGAATTATCCCTCATCGTTGCTGCTGCTGTTCGCACGGACCGATAGGTCTAATTTTGGGATTTTGGGGGGAATGATGAGAGGAGGGAAAAGTGAAACATGACACACGCACACGCACACGGTGGGTAGTTTCTACTTTGATCCCCAGCCTCGGAGTCTCATTCCCTCTTCAATCGCCGTCCAGATCCCTTCAACCACTTCCCGATCACGCCACCGGCCCGCCCCGTGGACTCCTCCCTTCTCGTCCCAGCGCTCGACCGCGTAGCTCTGCACGCCTCGGCCCCAGCTCTTCACTTCCCGAGGAATATCCTCTCCATGCCATCCGACATAAACACCCGTGGCATGCTTGAAGAGCTCTGGCGGCGAGGACCACTTGTATGACTTGAACTGCCAGGTCTGACCTGTCGTGAATACGGCAACCAGACGCTGCCAGTAGTCCGGCCGGAAGTTGGCCGTGCTATCGACGAGGATAAAGCGGGTAGGTTTCCGGGACGTGACCTGCGAGGAGCTGCCACCACCGGGGCGGAGAGAGGAGCTGGACGGATCCGAGTGCATGCGGAGCGGGCGGGAGATGTAGAGGATATTGGAGTTGGACATGGAAAGAGTAGGGTGATCAGGAGGGATGAAGACGCCGTCCTGCAGGAAGGAGCGCACGTTGGACATGCGGATGAGCGATGAGGCCGAGGGCGAGAGGAGAATGATGGGATCTTGCGTCTTGCTTGCCTTGCGTGGCTGGGACAGGCCTGCCGACGGCGACGGCACCACCATGGATTGCGGCTTGCTGCCGGCTTTCACACCAGCAGGGTATTGTCCCGGCCGTGAGCGGTTGCGTCCCAGCATGGATTCGGCGGTTTTGCGGACGTGAGAGAAGTCCTACAATAATCCCTATTAGCACTCTGTGTATATATAGTCTTCCCTTCTCTTCTCCCCTCTGCGTGAACTTACCGTCGGCTTAATCCCCCGTAGCACACTATTCCGATCCCCCATCTTGCGTTCCCCATTATAAATCTCCTGCAACCTAGGATCGATAACCTTAGCCGCCTTACCCTGCTGAGTCTGCGCGGCACCACCAGCCCCAGGAGCACCACTCGGTACAGCAGAAACACCACCCGCAGCCCCCGAAGCAATATTCGCCGACGCCTGTGCCTGAGCAGCAGCCGAAGCCGCGGCAGCAGCCGCAGCAGCGGCACCCTCCAACGGCTTGATGTATTCACTCTCATCAGACGCGCCCTCCAACCAAGTCAGGAGATCCAAGCGCTCGACGAATACGAGGTTCTGAACTTTCTCCTCCTCCTCGCCTTCCTTGCGCTCCTTCTGCTTTAGCGATTCATTGAGCTCCTGCGCGGAAGCAATGTACTCGGGAATGGCGACATCTTTCTTCTGCCACGCGAAGAAGATACTGCGGAGGTCGACGGCGGAGTCGGACGAGCTGGAGACGAAGCGGGTAGGTGTTGTGAGGGGTATTGTTTGCGGGAGGGGATGTTGGAAGTAGAGATGGGTGGCTTTTGCGAGGTCGTCGGTCGCATTCTGGTCGGAGAGGTCGCTGGAGGTTGTTGGCGTGGGGAGGTTGCCGGCCGCGATGGCGCGACGGAGCGAGAGGAGAGGATCTTGCAAGGAGGGATCGGTGGCCATAATGGCGGGTGTGAATATGGATGTGGAGGACTGGTAGATGATGCTACCGCTCCGGGAGTTTGAAATTGTGTGCTGGAAGTTGAACAATGGATGAGGTTGGGGGAGGTGTTACTCGTAGCTTTCGAGATGCGCAGGAACTGCGGAGTGCACGTGATCTCGTCCGCCCTGTACATGTTTATATGCGCGCGGAACTTACCCAACGTACTCTGAATAAGAATTTATTTAGTTGGTTGAATCATTGCTATTGCTCAGTGAATGATGTTATCAACACAAGCAGAGTTGTCGGTGATGCCACATCCAGCTCCATCCTCCAAAAATAGCTGTCACGCCAGTGAATAGAATCAATGCCCCGTAGTCGGTGGTATACCCGATGTCCCCATTTTCTTGCCCGGTGATGGAACCCCGCTGCATAAGAGCTGAGCTCAATGGGCCACTAATGACACTGCCAATGCCTCTTCCACCGGCTAATAACCCAAACACCAATCCGGTTTCCAGCGAGGGAACCTCACGCTTGACTTGGGTGAGCACACCCGACCAAGTGGAACTGAAACCTCCAGCAAAGAATCCGTACGTGATGGAAAAGAGAACCAGAAGTGCGATGGCAGCCTGTGGAAAGCTTGCAGATGGGGATGATGTTGACAGACCCCAGAACAGTAGGACAGACGTTCCAGAGCCTACGGAGGAGAGCAGCATGATATTGCTGACAGCGAAGCGATCACAAAGAGATCCCAAGACTATTCCACCTACAACAGAGGTGGCGTTGAATAGTGCTACCAGGAGAGTTCCTGTGGTGTCTGACAGGCCAGCTGCGGTTGTTGTATACGACGGTAGATACGTGCTGGGCAAGAAGTAGCCGAAGCTCTGGATGATGTTTCCGAGCTGGAGCATCCAGAATGTGGCCAGCTTCAAGAAAGCGAGATTCAGAGGCTGTGGAGTGGTCGATGGGGCTGGAGGGATTCGTGGTCTGATGAAAGGAAGGGTCACAGAAAGCGTGAGTAGCTACAATGCCTAGTTAATTTCAAATAGAATAGTGGGATGAGCAAACGACTGACTGTGACTACCGTCCAAGCCCTCAGAGTCGTCTTCGCTCCAAACCGGTCAAGACAGGCACTCGTCACGAAAGGCAGAGCTACGCCGCAGATGCTCTTACCAGCCCACATGATTCCATATGCCAGACCTTTGCGGCGAACAAACCACTGATCTAGATAGAGCGTGGTCGGACTGAAGACGAGGCCATTTCCAAGGCCACAGATCACGCCCTGCGTCACAATCATCTGCCAGACAGTTGTGGCGAAAGAAGACAGCAGAGAGCCGCTGACACTGAGAACTAGCCCGACAAACGCGCAGGACTTTGGTAGATGTGGGTAGCGGGTCAGGAGTGTGAACGTCACAGGCGACAAAAGATAGAGGATTCCCTGTAAGAAGAGAAAGATGTCAGCCATATGGAGATAAACATAATGTTAATAGAAGACAATATTACTGTTGCCGTGGTCCCCATGATTGCCAAACCTCCTTTACCCCCCTCGAGGCCATTATGCGTCTCAAAGTATTCCTGGAAGATACCGGCAACGAGAGAGAACCCTGGTGTCCCGAATGAGCAGACATGTAGCTACAGTTGGGTAAAATAAATGCGCACCCCAGACCGGCAATTGAATTAAACAGCATGAGGCGAGGATCAACCAGGCACCTTTGCCCTGGTCGACTGGTGGCAGTGGGACTTGCTCGAGTTCATGACGGGGGGAGCTGTTGGACTCTTCAGTGGATGGATGAGAAAATGAGTGATGTTCAGACCTTAAATCGGCCAGTTCGTGAGATGTCATGTCTGAGATTCGATAGTTCTTATGTAATTGATAAGGACAAAGAAAAGATAGAAGGACGATGTGCGAGTAAGTGGATGACTACCCCGCAACCCCTCAAGCCTCAGCATGAACGAATCATAAATAGTCTTTATAATCGTAAAGATCATCATTAATATTTTCGTCATATCAATGAACTATATACAAGACACCCTCCCACTATCCCGTCAAATCTATACAGGAATCCCCAAAGTCTCCTTAATATCCTCTCCCCTCAACCACTTCTCCATAGCCTCATACATGCCCCGGAACTTATCATTATCCTCCATCGTCGGCAAATCCAACTTAATCTTATGCCCCAATCTCGCCTGAGAAGCACCCAGATACCTATATCCATACGGATACGGCTTGAGCTCCTCCTCCGAGAAATCAGGCACATGCTTGCCATCCACGGGCATGATCTTATCCTTCTCGTAGAACAAGCGCTTGTAGTGGACCTTCCACCCGGCTGGATCCTTCTGGCACCACATAATAAAGCGGCAGTCACATTCAACATCAAACTCAATGCCATCAAATGAGAAGCGCTGGGTGATAGTGGCTTTCATTTTTCCCACAGCACGGCCTGTCTTGGAGTTCAGCTCCACGAGAGTGCCGTTTTCGCGGTGCATGATATGGTCGCCGTTTCGACGGCCCTTCTTGGAGACTTCGATGAATTCATCGATGGGCATGCCGCCACTCCATGCTGTGGATTGAGTAAACAATGTTAGTGAGATGTTTCGAGGAGAGGTTTAAGATATAAATAAGTGAGACAAAAGGACAAATGTGAGAACTTACTGGTAAAGATGTAAGCCTGTTCAGCGAAACAGTTTCGGTAGTGGGCCCATTCCGAGGCATCTCGGTATACTGGCCATCCCTTCAGGAGCTCGGTGACACATAGCCGATCCAGGATCTCTTCCGTAGTGCCATTGATGTGGCTGTGGATGGTAGGTTGAGGATCTTCGGCGGTGATGTTAACGACCATGATGTATATGATGTGCTAGATATAGATCGGCAAGGGAATGGAATGCTATTTGATGGAAGGATTGTAGTGATTGTAGAATTGTCTGTATCAACTAGGGACCATCCAGGGCACCAGCACGGCAATATATACTTCTTTCATAATTGTGATGGAGAAGTACTTGCCCGTCTGTTTCGGCAAACCCGAAAGCCGATAGTCAACCTTGTCCTTGATGTCATCCGATGGGAATGATATCAGGCAACCAACGAGCCGGCCTCGTCATTCGCAGTGGGCCGGTGGAGCCGGATAGCGTCTAGATGAGCTTGTCTGGACACCCATTCCAGACTGGTCATTAGTATGAAGGGTGTCCATACTGCCCGGTATCCCGAGTCAGCATGATAACCGGCATCTAAACAAGACCCTGTTATTGTCATCATCTTCAACGGACAAATACTCAGCCGTACCTCAAATCCTTTGCAAGATATTAAAAGGCAACATATTCTTGATGCTGCGGATCAGTCCACTGGAGCGGCTCATAACTATTCCTCCTTACCATACCTCTGTGAAACAAAGGAGCCAATAACGATGAGAATCGTCTCCTAACACGGCACATTGTGATCCATATTCAGTGTGATAAGAGGCGTGGCAGTGGCACCACAAGACTCATCAACCACTGGTCCAGGAGCGGCCGAGACGTCGCTGAATACGGCCCCCTGCAGCTATGCCAGCCCTGGCATACCGAATAAACAAGGTCTAGACAATAGACTCAAACGCTTCGGCGAGTGGCGCAGGCGGGAAAAGTCTAGAGGCCCAAGGCGCGCCTCCCTGGTAATTCTTTATCCGCGTCCCGGCCCACGTTTCGAGCCAAAGCTATGATGAAAGAGCTGTCGCTTCAAGTCTTGTTTGGATGGGGAATGAAAATTAATGGAAGTAGTCATTGATCATGCGTTGCTCTTTCTTACAGGTGGAGAGCCCGATCAGCTAAGAAGAAAAAGTCCCTGCATATCCGGAGCACTTGACCCTCCCGAGCCCAAGAATGGGCTCTCCTTTCCTTCATGTCTATATCCCGGTTTCCTCGAAAGCCATCCAAAGCTTATGCAGAGCACAATGGGATTTTGCCTGACGTCACCAAGATAACTAGGATTCAGCCCAGCAACGTGTACCTTCGATGCATTCAGCTACGGAATCAGTGCCATCAATCAACATTCAAGAAGAATTTCATTCGTCATGGTCCACTCCGCAGAGCCCGAATGTTCGGCGCTTGGGGAGTCATGTCACAAATATCCTAGTAATAGAAGAGGAGAACGGTAATAGGAAAGGGAAAGAAGAAAAAAAAGTCTGACAGTAATAATGACAATCGTGAAGCAGGCGCTCACATCATGACCCGTAAAGGTCCTCCTGAAAACCATTTCCCATGCCCATAACTCATCCGGAGTATTTCCCTGAACCCGCTCCATTTCCAACACGCCGAATACGCCGGTCAAATCAAAACCGCTCCGCCGGCTGAACGCCTGTCAATTCCCATCGTGTACAAGTCGAAGCAAAAGAAAGAAAAGGGGAATGAAGTAAAGAACAAATTCGCAGAAATTGTTCCACAAAGAAAGTAAACAACGCGTATTATATCGTGTAAACCCCGACTTCCAGGGGAGTAATCCACATGAGATAGCATCAGATCGTCACGTCGCTGAGGGTATGTGTGAAGTCTGCGTAGCTCCGGGAATATCCTTCATGCTGACATCCTGCGGCCCCCGTTCTGGCTTCGGCACTTCGTCGCCGGTCGCCTTGGCCGCCGCGGAAGAGTTGTGCCCAGCAGCAGCTCCATCACGGCTGGCCGGAGGCGGTACAGGTGGTGTGGGCGGTAGCATTGCGGTAGCCTGAGCTTGAGTCTTCTCAGACGTAGGCGTGGTCATGGTGCCCCGGCGAATGAGATAGTCACCCAAACTGAGTTTCTTTTTCACTGGACTAGGGCCTGCCACGCCAGACACCGGCGTGGTGGGAATATGGGGTTGCGAAGTCACATCAGTTGAAGGTGAGGACAACACCGATGGGGCTGTAGACCCGGGGCTGGTGGCCGAAGGGGGCGGGGGTAGCGTTGCGGGGGGCAGAGGAACGCGGAGATTAGTGTTGCGCTGTTTATGCACAATATTGCTAGGTATCCGAGCGTTGTGCGCTGCAGTTGAAGGCCAAGGGGGCGGCACGGGCGGCTTGACCGATCCCCGTCCTGACAAGGGAGATGCATCGAGATGTGTAACGGAATGGGATGGTGAGGTTTCTACTGGCGAATCAACATCCCTCATCTCTGTGTCCTGGATGTCGGCGGATATGCTGGGGGTTGTGGCTGTTAATGGCGCTGCCTCATGCGGGCTCGTGGAAGTCGGTGAAGAGTCAGAATGCTCGGGAAGAGAAGTTCGAGGAGTAACAGGGGATGGGCTGCTTTGCTCAAGCTTGATACGATCAGAATAGCATCTTTTCAGCAAACGTTGAGTCAAGGGCACGAAACAAGGTCGACGAGGGGAAGGCAGGGAAGGCGAAACCACACCATCGCTAGCATCCGGCTCGGTCTGTATAGCGGAGTCCACGTAATGTGAACGCCCCAGAGGAGACCGCCCAGGTGTGCTGTGACTGCCGGATGTTTTGCGCGGTGAGCTGTGACGCATTCCGGAAAGCGAGCCCACAGGTCCGCCCGAGGGAGGAGAATATGACTGGCGCTCGCGTGGAGCATGGCTGGATTGACCACTAGCCCGTTTCTTCTTTCTGTGTGATGCTTGGTCCTGCTCCAGTTGTTGAAACTTCTTCTCTGCTGCAGCGATCTTACGCTTGTCTCGAGCCGAAAGTTCCGATTCCCCGAGCAAAAACGCTTCCGTAGGAGTCTGTAAAGTAGGGGTGAGATCCCGACTGCGAGTTTGACCTCGGATAGACCCCGATGCAGAACGGCTATCAGCCTGGTCATCTTCATCAAGGTTCTTAGTGGTCTCACTACCCGCCCGACTTGTGGTTGCAGGCGGAGAAATATTCGCCTTGGGCTTTGTCTTCTTTCGCTTAGCACTCGGCTGTTTCGCGTTCGCATCCATCAACTTTGGGTGACGTCGTCGATCAACGCTGGACAGCAAACAGTTCACGGGAGGGACGCAAGCGCATCCACCAAAGTGGGCGAGGACATTACTGATGCAAATGGCAGGCGCATCGTGCGTGCTGTCACTGGCCTCCTGCTTGACTATACCATTGGTAGACTCAAAGAGTTGAGGATCTAGGTACCACATGGCCGTGATTTCCGAGTCCGCAGCGATGTCTTCCTTCGCAACAAAGCAGAAGTGGTACTCTACCTGATTCGTGATGTAGGTTTTCATGGTAACATTCGGCCGGCAGGAGCGCCGCACGTAGCGGAGCACGCTTCCCTCATGCCGACTATCAATGTAGATTGGGAGCTGAGGGTGGAAAAAGACAAAGGGCTCAGGATGACGAAGCTCTTGCCATCGATTACTGGGGTCAAGACAATAGTCGCGTAAGAAACCAAGCTTGCCCGTAATCTCACCGACAATTTCATCTTTGCCGACACGATCGCGAGTTTTGAGGATTTTCCAGGTTGGATGTTGGCCTTCCACCTCAATGCTCGAGTCCGTGATCGTTTCAGTAGACAATGTCGGCCAGCGTGATCTGTCAAGTGTTGCACCAGACCACGTGAAGATTTCTTTTGGGGAGCGCCCATTTGTGATGCGGGTAACAGCCTCCGGCTCCGTGACCCAGGCAGCAAAGTCCGCTGCAAGATGCAGATTCACAAACAGGTTGCTGTCTATGTTGGCATAGTCTTTCCCTTGATCATAAAGATGAAGGAACTCGTGCGAATACAAAGGAATGGAAGGCCCTGATGCCTTGGTCGGGCTCATGGAGGGTGCTGCCCGCTTGCGCGCATCAGAGGGTAAGTTGGGTGCATTAGACACGGAGCTTACCGACCCCGATGAACGATGATTGGTTTTGACCTTCTTCGCAAGGGGCTGATCCCGGGCGCTGGATTCAGACCGGTGATGGAAGCCGTTTACCTGATCACCACCGTGCTCCTTGACCTTCTTCTTATGACTCTTCGCACCGGACCGTTTCGCTTTCCGGTCACCGCCGTCGTTCTGTTCTCTGAGACGCCTCTGTCGTTCCGTAGCGCGCCGGCCATCGAGGGAACGCGGCTCGCATTCCACGCAGTTATGGACTTCGGGCACATCTCGGCCATGATAGTAGCATTCGATATGCTGCCAGGTTTCGCACCCTTCGCAGAAGACCGTATTACCATCGTCATCCTCGAAAGCGCAGATGCACTTGATGGTATACGGCTCTTCTTCGTCAGGGGCGACCGAGTCAGAAACAGCGCCGTTTACGATGGGCGAGTTCAGAGGGGCGGTGACCGCAGGGGGCTCCGTGGTTGGATGCGTGATGGCGACTGGGGAGGTATCTGTCATAATCCGACAGAATACCCCCTCTTGAGCTGAACAGAGAAAAATGCGCTGTTGAGGGTTCGAGGGGACGAACGGTATTACGGGAACCTGTCAAAACCCAGCACGCATATCACCTGTTGCTCACTGGTAGTCGTCGCCTGACCTAGACTCTCACGACAGTCCACAGTGACAGAAGGGATGGTTCAACCTTGGAAGATGATGAAGCCAGGTGATCAAGTCCACAATGTGCCACCCTCTTTATCGATGAATGAACCGGTAAGGAATGAGCCCGCGAGGGTAGGAAGACCGATAGAGGTTTCTCAGCGATGGAAGGATCGTATTACTGCGATAGATTGTAGAGGGACACCAGGTTCGAAAAGGGACAGGTTGAGCGAAGTCTCAGTGGAGTCGTCTTCCTCGGTGGCGCGTGCGACCGTGAGCAAGTAAGAAGTCGAGGATCGGTAGCCGATGATTGTGAGTAGGCGGACGGACCACGAATCGCATGGAGGAACGGATAGGCTGTAAGGAGAGGAAGAGAGTAGAGAAGGTGGAGAGATCAAGGAGGATGACGCTCGGAAGGATGGTCAGCAGTAGGGGGACAAAGACGAGAAAAGGAAGACAAGGTCGGGAGGGAAGAGGTGAATGAGATGACGGAAAGGTGGGCGAGGGAGGATTAGAGTCGAGACACGAGAAGGTGAATCGGGAAGAGGCGAGGGCAAGCAAGCGAGAGAGGGAGAAAGGAGAGCAGAAGAGAGGAAGCGAGGATCAGAGGGAGGGAGAGCGTAAGAGAGAGAGAGAGCGAGAGCGAGCGAGAGGCTAAAGCCACGGATGGGCCATTCAAGCGGCGCGTCCAAGACCCAGAGTGAAAAGGGAATGGCGTGGAATTTTTTCTCCCACCCGTCCAGGTTCTGGGGGAGCCGATGTCTGGGATGGTGAGTGCGCTTAGGGAACAGCTTCAAGGTGGTTTGTACCTAAACTGCCCTTGCCTATATTTTTCGTCCCTTTTCTTTTTGATCTTGTTCTTTTTGGGGGGTGGTTTCACCCTTGTAGCCCCCGTTGGGGAAGGTTAATAATCCACACGGCAGAATTGAAGAATGAGGGGGGAAATCGTGGAAGAGCGAAAGGGACAGAACCGACGACGGACAGGCCGGTCGAGGAACGAATTATGAGCTCGAGGGGACGAAAGGGAGGGGGGGGAAGACCATGGGGAACCAAAGGGAAAAAGGCAAGATTGCGAGGCCGGCCGGAAACGAACCCACGCCAAACCCAGGCTGAGCTTCAAGAAGGGGGGGAAGAGGGAACCACAGCAGTCCTGAGGCACGCCTGGCCGACCTCAGCTAGTCCTAAACGCAAAGTACCTTCAGTCTTCCTCTTTTCTTACCTGGCAACAACCCTGGACTAGCCTGTCTGGCACCCATGGTGAACACCTGAGGGCTCAGGCAGCACTGGAACTGCTGCCTGGAAAGAACCTCGGGTGGAGAATCCCACTTATCTGGTTCCGGCAGGAGCAGTGCCTCTCAGCCCCCAATCGGGGTAGACATCATGCCAAGTCCCAATTCGGGCATAGCGGGTGGAAATACCAATCTGACTGTCATCAGAAGGAGAGGCAGAGTCACTCTCCGTCCAGGGACATCCCAGACATCCTCGAGAGGCAAATGGAGTTTCAATCCCCCAATACCCTTACCCAGTGCCAGCATTGCGAAGGATGGGGTGGGAGACGAAAAGAAGGGAAAAAAAGAAAAAAGAAAGGACCGACGAAAACAAAATCAAGGGGAGGGAAAAACCAGACTTCACTTGGCTGTGGATCTTTTAGAAGCAGTTTCGGGCCAGAGTCTCGCCTGTCGTAGGTCAGTGAAGCCGCCTTACAACGCATGCATGCGTTGTCTAGCCGTCCTAGCGGTCAAGAAACAATGCAGACGAAGTAGAGAAACAGACTGGTGGACATCCAGTTAAATATAGAAAAGAAAAGAAAAGAAAAGAAAAGAAAGAAGAAAAGTAAAGCAGAGCAAAGAGATATTGTTAGTCACGGGTAATTTAGTTAGCATCAGAGCAATGTCAAGTGATGAGCAAATTCAACTGGTTATCTTTGGTTGCTTATTGTACCTGACTCCAGGCGGCGACACGGACGAGCGGCTGCATGCTTCACAGTAAAGCCACGTCGAATTAAAGTGTCCGGTGAAGGAGCTGTAGTTCCAGATGAATGGAAAAGTCGTCAAGTCAAATAGTAAAACGAGAGCAAGCCCAAGTCACCGTCACAAGCCCTGGGAGGGATGCAATATCCGAGGATATCATACCCGGAGGATCTGATGGGTTGGGGGAGAGATGAGAAGATAATGAGAGAGAGGTATGTGACAGAGTCACCGGGGACCCCCAGAGATTTATGAGGTATCGCCCTCCGTGAAGGGTTGTTCCGGCAGGTTAATGGGAAAAGGGGAGAGAGGGCTGGAAGGGGAAAGGAAGAGAAGGAAATGGTCTGTGAGCAGGACTGATGATTTTGGAAAGGAAAATTGAACTCCGAATCCAAAATCAAAATCGACAACCCGAAAGATGCTGGGCAGCTGGTTAGTTAGTTGGGGATCCTCCATGGCTTGCTAGCCTCATGAAAAATTACCCCATTTTACCCGTCCAGTGGGGGGGAAAGGAAAGATGGGTGGTATTCAGGTATTGAGCATTACGCTGGAGGGAGAGGGAGACAGAAAGAGGGAGGGAGGGAGGGCGCTGAGGGGGTCGAGAGGCAGCGGATGAGGGACCTTGACTGACTGCCAGGGAAGGAAGAACAATAATTGACGGAGGGGGCAGATCGGGGTCATAAGGACGAAATAATAATATGATGACGGGCGTGCTCAGATAACATGATCTCGGCCTTGCTCTTGATAGGAAGGGTAAAAGGGGAGATTTCGCGCAAAAGTGGGAGAGAGACTGAGGGGGGAGCCGTGGCCTAAATTAATAGCGAGCAGGTCGTGTTGGCTGCTGCGACGACTTGCTGTTGTTACTTACTTAACTTACTAGTCGGAAGGCTGACTGACCTAAAGCGGTGATGATGATGGCAAAACGACACCCGAAGCATCATCAAATCATCCCATCGCCATCGGCACTCTCTCCCTTCCACCAACTCGCTTGGACATATAGTTTCTTGATCGTTAGAGTATAATGTGGACTTACTACTTCTCATGATAATGTACAATGATTATTGAACATTTGATGTTTGAATTTCAAGCCCAATTACTCTACACTCTCCCTCTGATATGATCTCCTCTAGTAGACGCAGTATTACTTGGGCGCTACTACTGCAAGTACTAGTGCGTGAAAATTACGTTAGGGGCTGACACGCCGGTTCCCGTGCGTGGCGAACCGCCCCCCGAATAGGGCCTAACTGTATGGATGTAAAGTAAGGCCATAGTAGTAAGTCTTTCTCTCCTTCTTATTTTCTATGTATCGATCCGTCTTCGTTACAAACGAAACAGACAATCTTTATGCCTGTTAAAGTCTTATAAAAGCACCCAGGGATGGTGCTCGCTAGACTTTCGTGCCTGTAGTTGCAACTTACCTTTTTTCCATTTGCTACTACTTCACGTCTTCATCATCTGCCTACTACTATATGCCATTACCAGCAACTACTCCAGCCTCCTATAGTTGGCCATCAAGGAGAAGGCTTGAGATGGAGTCATTGTCCATCGTGGTACTGAATGACTGAGGAATAAAATAAAAAAGCATCATGAATTAAGAAATAAGGATCTCAGGACTGTACAAACAATAATGGCAGTGGCGGCTAGCTCTCCGTGCACTATCAATACAAATAAAGTGGCGGCGAAGGAAAAGGAATCACGACTGCCAACCAGGACATTTGCTGCAGGCGAGAAATGAAAGTACGAGGTAGGTTCAAGAGTAGTCTCTCTTAAGGTCCCAGGGGACTCGAGACCGGGGCACTGGTTGACGGTCCGTCGCGCTCCAGCCCAAACATTCTCCACCAGCTTCGACGACTGGTCCTCCCATCCTCCAACTTGAGCTTCCGTTGTAAAATGGCAGTTCTCGCTTGGTGACCGAAATAGAGCGAGAGGAACGACAAGATCCCAAGGTACACAGGAATAGCGTTTCTCATTCTCAATTGTGACCAGGACTGGACCGGGAGTTCCTCGGACGATGGCGGAGGGAACGCAAGAACAAGTGCATTGGCAATGGGCAGCAAGGTGCAGCCTAGGATCCCAGCGTATACTCCATAGGGCTGGATGCGGGACTGGTGGACTCGAATAAAGCCCTGTTCCTCGGTCTTCCTCCGGAACCGTAGGTAAATGATACTAGAGCAAAGCCATGAGATGGATCCCGACGTAGTGATGAAGTACATGAGTGAATTAAAAAGGGCCGAGCTGGACTCGGCTAGCGACAGGAAAGCAAACAATGAGAACAGCGCAGATGTCAATATGGCCACATAGGGCACTTGATACCGGTTGCATCTAGTAAGCATTGCTGGAGCATGTCCAGATTCGGCCAAGGTGTAGAGTGTGCGAGAAGATATGTAGAGAAAAGAGCGTCCAGAGGCGACCGATGAAAGGAATATCAACACGGTCACCAGAATCCGTAACGCGGGGATGCCCGCGCGTACAAAGCCCACGACGAAGGGCGATGAGCCAGCGCCCGTGCCATAGTTGGTCAATTGAGGCTCATCAAATGGACTAACGAATGTCATCATGAACGCGCTGAGAATGTAGAGGGCAAAGAGATAGCCACTGTCCGTTCGGGCCATGCTCAGGATGCTAGGACCTCCTTCCGTGTTGGCACGCTCAGCCCTCTGAACAGTAATTTCTGGTGTCAGGGTGAAAGAAATCACGCTGTATAGAAAGCATTGTAGGAAGCCAAGGAAACGCCCTCCACCGCCGGGGATGAGATACTCGTTCATCGGGCCAGGTTCGTGCCAGTAACGAAATCCTCGTATCGGTGTCCCTGGGATACCTCGGATTGCTAGGAATAGCGAGCAAATTGTCAGCCCCGCAGTAGTGATGATCTTTAATCCCGTGAAAACAGTCTCTATCCGTTGGAAAGCCCGCTGGGGGAGCATATTGAATAGAAGGATCAGGACTGCGACCATTGCAATCCGGATCGCCATGCTAGGCTCAGGTGTCCACAAACTGAGATTGACCATGGCAGTGGTGATCTCGAAGGGGACCATCATTGCCAAGGAGTACCATCTAAGGTAGCCTAGAGAAAACCCTAGATGGTTGGAGCCATATTCATAGCTGTGAGCCACCATGGTACCGTTGAGCGCAGGTCGGTGGGCCGCAATCTCTGCAATGGCTGTTGTCAAGCAGTAAGATAACAAGAAGACCAGTACATATGAGCCAAGTAATGATGCTGGACCACCGGCAGCCAGAGCTTGGCCGGCCCCAATGAAGAGGCCGGTTCCAAAGGTGGGAATAAGAGCCATAGTACGTGGTTAGGGATAGCGGAGGAGAAATAGAGGATGTCGAAAAGGCCTACGAATGTCCTGGTGTTTCTTCTGAGAAGACGAGGCTGCAGGCGTGGTTGCCGGATTGGAGGAAAGGGGTACCTCCTTCCTCTTCCGACAAACCACAAGAAACGGGAAGGTTGACTGGGGATTGACTGGGGAAGCTCCGTTGCAGCAAGGAGTCATCTTACACCAGATAGGCGCTGCGACGCTATACGACAGATAGGCCAGAAATCCATGGGTATCATTGTATGCCAAACAGAGCAAGAATGACTGCAAGATGAACAAGCCGAGATCTAATCTTCCCATAGCTAGACCGCAACAAACGCCTGTCCGAATAGAAAGAGACAAATAAGAACACCCAAACGAGTAGCAAAGGAAACCCCGTCACGTATTGGGAAAGAGTCAGGGTGTATGGCTCCTGCAGTGCGTAGACACAGTGGGAAGAGGCTAAGGATAGGTTGCAACTCTGAGAGTTCCAGCAATGCAGCAGCTAAGTCACCTCGTCTCTATTGACAAGCCATATCGGTTTCAGCGTACTCGAGCCATTCTCCAGAGAGGGACTTCTTCCAGAATCGTACAATACCATCATCGCCTGATGAAATGAGGCAGTCACCTGTGTAGAGACTAATTAGCACTGAGGGCAGTCTCGACGTTCCATTGTGAAAGGGGTCTGCCACTAACCAGCGTAAGAAAAGCCAACCTGCCACACGTCTAAATGCTTGCTGTCAATGCATGCAATTTCCTTGAAAGAATGCTTGAACTGAGAATCTGCGGGTGCAGCACGACTGGACATCGATACAGGAGCACGGCTTGCAAGAGCAGAGCCGATACCTGACTGGGTGGTCGCACGAATTGATGATGACTGCGATGAAGAATGTGCGTGGTTGCCATTGGAAGTCTGTGACCCGGAGCCAGAGGCCGTGGTATATACCTCAAAAACCCGGATGAAGCCATCCTTGCAGCCACTAGCAATGAGGTCATATCCCCTCACTGACCCATTGGCCCAAGATATATCCCTCACAAGACCGCCATGCCCCGTCAATTCGATGGCGTGGTAAAAGCGTCGACTTGCATCAGTGCGATAGATCTTTACGCTGTCCATGGCGGCCACCACCAGCGACAGACTTTTGCGATCTGAAGAGGGCAATACAGAGTGCGTAATGTCCGAAGGATCATGGTGAAACTGCACTTTGAAGCTTGTTTCTTCTCCTCGCTGGGGAGCAGTGCAGACTCTAAATTGATCTAACGGCTGCCAGTCCGCAAGAGTATCGGGGCTTACAGGCTCCATGATCATCAGGTAGCCATCGCGAGTAATAACGGCCATCCAGGATTCCAGATCAATGTTGCGAAAATCGATTGATACAAATGGGTGGCGCTGAGGGGCGGTCATGCGAAAGATGGACCTGAAACGCCGGCCTGAATTGGGGGGTTGCGTAACATCCTCCTGCCATATCTTGCATTTCATGTCTTCACCCACGCTGCCAATGTGCTGGCCCGTGAAAGGGCCATTCCAGGTCGCCTGAGTAACAGTTAAAACACAACAATACCAGACCAGATACCAAGGAACCAGGGGGCCACTGCCGTGGGAGTGCTTACATCACGGATCTCCGCGTCATGAGCACGCCAAGTATCTACGAGCTGCCATTCACCGTCTTTCTGGTCCCAGACCTTCATGCGGTGATCAGTTGAAGCTGTGACAATGCGATTGCCGTAGAAATTGAATTTGGTAACCGAAACCAGGTCTCGATGACCGGCGTCGAAGTCGGCGAATCCAGCCATGGTGGGCGTGTGCGGTATCCCCAATCAGAGAGAGACGATCAAACCAATCAACCAGAGTGCACAGCAAAGCCTTTAGCCACCACCTTTAGAAAGCAAACATTCAGAGACGCGTCAAATATCAACTGCAGAAACCTTAGAGGCGGGGGGTGAAGCCTTCCCCTGATCTATGTAGATCCGGCCTTGCAATCGCCTATAGAATCCAAGCAAGGCGTGCATATGAAAGCGCCGGGATGCGATAGCTTCAGGCAGCTTAGGTAAGGCAGCCACGCCCGATGCCGGTCGGAGCTGGTCTTCACCGCCTATGGAAAAGAGGGCGGTCAAAAATGTACCGGCAGAATAGAGCTCCTTCCCCAATTTCTCCACTTACTTCTTGATGCCACCTTGCCTTTCTCCAGCGCCAGGGAGATTACGCGTCCTTATGGAAGTGAAATTCTACTTAGCATGAGGCCTTGGAGATAGCCTCATATCAAACTATTTGCGCGATGGCAGCAGCAAATTCAAGCTCTCTTTCTCGCCAGGAGACCTGGCGGCTCTTCGCCTTGGTGGGAGCCTGCGTCGGCATCCTTCTGAATACTTTCCAAGGCGATGGCGCGCCCTTGGTAGCTTCGCTCGCGTTTAGCGGTATCGCTTTCGCAGTCACATTTAGTATGATTCGATGGCTCGTACCAGTGTTCTTGAAGGCGGGCCTGAAAGGGCGAGATATGGCGAAACCCAGAAGACCCGAAATGTATGGATAACCCATGTTTCTTCATTTTGTTGTATGATAGCTTATCATTGCGTACTTGGCGTTATGGCAATGCTAATGGGATTGTAATTAGACCCGAAACAATGGGAGCCGTTTGTGCTATTGTCTATCTCCTTGCTCTGATATTCTTCATCCCCTTTGCCTTTTACAAGGATATAGTGGCTGCCACCTCAGGTGGAGGCAACCGAGATGTCGTAATCGAGGTAGAACACGTTGAGACTGGCCGGATGCTACACCGGTTTCCGCATGGGAAGGTCTGTCATTTCGGGTGCTCTAATCTGCGCTAGCTTACTGACAGCGAAATTACACAGCTTGCATCCTATCTTTCCGGTCTTCTCTCATTGCAATGTATCGTCATTCTCGGAATTGGCGACGACCTACTTGATATCCGATGGAGACACAAAGTCCTCATTCCCGCCTTTGGCGCTATTCCGATGCTTATAGTATACTTTGTGGACTTTGGGGTTACGCAAGTCGTCGTGCCAGTGCCGCTGCAGCCCTATCTGGGCTCCACTATCGACCTCGGCTGGTTGTACTATGCCTACATGGCGGCCGTGGCCATCTTCTGCCCCAACTCTATCAACATGCTGGCCGGAATTAACGGAGTTGAAGTGGCCCAGTCTCTGGTGATAGCGGTTCTGCTGATAGCAAACGATGTCCTATATCTTGCACCCATTACACCATACCCGCATCCGGCAACGGACTCCCATCTGTTCTCTCTATACTTCTTGTTGCCTTTTGTTGGAGTGTCCGCGGCCCTCTTGTGCCATAACTGGTACCCATCAAAAGTTTTTGTGGGAGATACCTATTGCTACTTTGCGGGTATGGTGTTTGCCGTCGTTGGCATCTTGGGTCACTTCAGCAAGACGCTCCTGCTTCTCTTCATCCCGCAGATCTTCAACTTCCTATATTCAACGCCACAACTCTTTAATTTGATTCCTTGCCCGCGCCATCGGTTGCCCAAGTTCAATTCAGTCACCGGACTGTTGGATGCATCGGTGACCGAATGGACCGTCCCGCCATCGCCATTGGTGGCTACTGCGTTAAACCTGCTGCACACATTACGGCTGGTGCGTGTCACTAAGAACGAACAGGGCCAGATTGTCGAGTCGACAAACCTCACCATCCTCAACCTGTGGCTCGTATGGGCTGGGCCGATGAAGGAGAACCAACTGGCGTGGAGTATGGTGGCTGTACAGACATTTTGCGGCCTTGCAGGTCTGTTTGTGAGGCACCGCCTCGCACTGCTGGTGTTCCGAGAAGATAATCTGGCATTCGGGAGTTCCGTATAGTAATGGGAGTGTGGTATAGTATAGAGTGTTAATTGTAATCGAGATGTTCATACAGAATGCAAGTACCCAAAAGAACAATATTTTTCTCTTTCTAAGCACCACTTAGACTGGACAGACAACCAGTTACTATCCACGTAGAATGAACGGAGGACGGCTCCATAGGTATCGTTTAGTAGGCCCCACATCTCCACACCCCACATCCTCCACCAACACACTCACTACTAGTATTTCATCCTATAAACACCCAAGCCATATACTGTGCTAACCACCACTTACTACACGCTGAAATCCACCCCAGCTACCAACAGCAACGGCAAATAGCCATTGGTGAAACAATAAAACAGCTTCTTGTTCTGCTAGACTATTCACTCTACAAATGGCAAGATGACCATACAAATGCTCAACTTGATTGAGCAAAAAGAAACCATATTAGCTGTCTATTTCGGCTTAACCGACAAATGGAGTAGCTCGGCTCGGTTGATTTTCATGCACGCGTTAAAGAAAGCTAGATTCCCAGAGTGTTCTTCTAGCCATAGGAGACCGGTAATTCCGTGCTCATGGTCTTCTGTAACCCAATGGAAGCATACAGCGCTCTCAACGTGTCCAAATATCCTTCTCTCATATCCAGACCTGGCTAGTCTCTTGACTTTTTCAACTAACGCCTCCTTTTTCTTTCCTCGTACTCATACGTTGTTCTGCTTCGATGTTTTAGTACTATCAATTGCAAATCGAGTATGAGCGGGAGAATCTCTACGAAAGGCGGAGACTCTAAACTGTAAATCAGGGGACCTAGTCCGCTAAAATCCTCGAACATCTCACTAAATGTGACGAGTGGAGTATAGAGACCTGTTCTACTACTGCCACTGTATATCTACTCCGTGCTCTATCTGAGTTAGCGAAAGCGCCAATCAACACTCCTACCTACCTGGTAGGCTACTATGCATGTATGCTCGGTTGGTGATTTTGCCTGTCCTCTACCATCCGATCAAATCATTCTCCGTCTGCCCTTCCACCATCTTCGAGTTCGGTCTAACTTGACAGCTCTCTACAAAAAGCCAACGGATATGCATATGTTTCTGACTGACCGAAGATGCTAGGTGCCTCCAGAGCTGCCACATGCGGTCTTGTCAAAACCCAACATCTCGCCTGCATGGAAGAGTGCTTTCTTTTGAGCCGTGAATTGCCCCATGTCCTACTCCGGAGACGGCAGAGTTATGTGTATACAAAAGATACCCCATTAGCATCGAGCTGATACTGACTGGCTGGTTTATA